CATAAACAAGCAAACTACAGCAGTTGACTTATTCTCCATAAGAATAACATGGGAATTTTAAAATTACAATTTTTTTGAATTTTCTCTATAACAATTAGGCGCATAATAACGCTTGAATATACTAAATTATTTGTTTTTTTAAGCTCTACAAAATGGTTTAAAAAGAAATTGTGAAATTTTGTGTTTTTAGGGTCAAAAATGGGAAAAACCTATTTTTACCCCATAAAACCCCCCATTAACCCCCGTTCCCATAGTCCGATCATGCTGGTTCGCGAACTCATTCAAGTTTATCCCGCCTTACACCTTCAAACCAAATTTGATCAAAATCGGACAAAAATTACTCAAGTTATCGTGCGGATGGACACATATATATATATATCTCTATATATAGATATATAAAAATTTGAACGAATGGTGTTTTTGGCCTCTGGGGACATCAAAATGAAAAAGTAAATCGGTCCCGGGCTTAGGTCTTACCATGAGACCTACGGTAATAGCTACTTCCCTATAGGGAAATTCGCTAATATGAATATCACCATTAAGCTGTGGTTATACTGGCCATATTCATGGAATAATTCAGCTCAATTGGTCAGTTTTCACGTTATTGACATACTCCAAACATTCATATCCATTATACAGGGTGGGGCAGAGTGGACTCCCTGATTTGATCGGTTAACTGTATAAAAACCATACAAGATTATTATAAAAGCTTTTTATTTCTGAAATCTAAATACAATGCCATTTATTTTTCATTAAAGTTTTAAAAATGATATCGTCCAGGTGACGACCTTGACGAGCGATGCACATATTCAGCCGTTCAATGAAGTTTTCAAAAACTCTACGCAGCATATCTGGCGTTATTCCAGTGATAACATCAACAATTGCTTCCTTAAGGGCTTCCAAGGTCCTTGGTCGAACTTTGTAAACCTCAGATTTGAGGTAACCCCAAAGAAAATAATCGCATGGGCTTAGATCGGGGGAGCGAGCGGGCCATGAAACATCCCCTCGTAATGAGATCAAGCGGTCAGGAAACCGTTCTTGCAGAAGTTGGTGAGAGCGACGGGCGGTATGAGCCGTGGCACCATCCTGTTGAAACCAAAAGGCTTCCATATTATTTTCCTCACCATACTCTTCAATTCTGGGAAAGAAAAAGTTCTCCAACATCTGACAATAGCGCACAGCGTTCACAGTAACGGTTGCACCTTCCGATTCAAAAAAGTAGGGGCCAATTATGCCTTTGGAGGACACAGCACACCACACAGTCACTTTTGGAGAATGAAGAGGTTTTTGGTGAAGAGTTCGTGGGTTTTCAGCTGCCCAGTAACGAAAATTTTGTTTATTTACTGTGCCCGAGAGGTGAAAATGTGCCTCATCACTAGACCACAGAATAGTGCCGGGTTGTAAAGAAGCCAGTATTGCATTGCAAGCATCTGTACGTTTAACAAAATCTGCTGGCGTCAATTCTTGAACAACCATCATCTTATACGGGTGTAAATTAAGGTCTGAGTGTAAAATTTGCCTCAACGTTCTGGCCGACATTCCAAGAGCAGCAGCATGTTTCCGCGCAGAGCGTGATGGAGATTGTTCAATAGACGCTCTCACCGCCATTATGTTTTCTGGTGTCCTCACACTCTTTGGTTGTCCGACTGGTTTTCTAGGCAGTGCAGATCCGGTCGCCCGTACACTTGTAATCCATTTCCTTATGGTTTTAGCATCGGGAACACTATCATGACGATTCAAACCAAACCGTCTACGAAATGCACGCTGGGTCGCCACAACACTATCCTTATTTTTAAAAAACGTTTCGACTACGAAACCACGATGCTCGCCAGTCCACTGCATGGTGACTACCAACAATCAACAATGGCGTCTTTCCCCCCACCACATGAAACCCCTCCCACTCCGCTAACTCGCGTACACGCTCTTCAGCGACTGATTGAAACTAGGGAGTCCACTCTGCCCCACCCTGTATTACTTCCTTCCATCCAAGTCATTGACTTGATTAGTAATGCACTAAAATTATTAACAAGCTACTCTTTTTCCAGACATTATTTTTGGGGAAACCAACACAATATTTTTTTTTATTTGGAAAAAAATCATGTCAATAAGTTGATGAATTATGCAAAAATAAAATTACCCTATTCCCACAATACCACAACAATTTTGTGTTTGACAGTTATTGTATATCACAGCTTGTTGCTGCTTTGTTCAAATTATCATAAAATTCAAATTATTTTATAACATCCATATAAATCCCAAAGTACCCACAAACTTTTGAGAAAATTAAAAGTAACATCCCCATAAACCATATAAGTACTTAAAATGTTCATCATGGCGAGAAACCTTGCGCAAAACTGTCCATTATTTCTTAAATTGCCCTTTAAGGTCGTAATTCCTTTCTAAAGGGAACTGTCCATACACCTAATGTTAAAATATCTTAGCTGTACTTATTTGTTTGTTAGGTTGGTTAATTTTAGATTAGATTGGCTGATGCCAAAAAAGGAATCAAAAGTAAAAAAAAAATCCTTAAGAATAATGAAATATTGTGTACAGTATAATTTGTGGTTGGGTTAGAAAAGATAAATTACTACCAAACAAGGATACAAAAGTCAGATTAAGTCTTACAACATTGTATTTTGTACTTTGCCTGCAGTGCCAACAGGCATTCTATAGAATGCATGATTATATAATTTACCTGTAACATAAGTAACAGAAATGTGACAGTTTGTTGTAATTTAGAATGGAATATATTTACTTTTGTGTATTATGAAGAATTTTATTACAAGTGCTGAGGCTGGCAGTTAGACATCTCTTATTAGGGTTAAACAATAAATTGAATTTCATGGAGGAAAATAAGAGTCAGATGGGGTATAATGTCCCTGAAATAGAAAGGTTAACTGCATACAGAGACATGTGGTTAAACATGTGATTTATATGTCTTACCATAGATGATGTTTAGTAGTGTTGCATTTTATATACTGCTATCTCTGCAGAGGATGCCAAGTTTGAATCAAAGGCTGATGCACACTAAGTAAGTACTCTCTATGATAGAAGCATAGAACATGGTACATTGATTGAATATCTATGAGCCAAACCACGAAAATAGCTCCAGGAGTAAGCTTTCAAAAATAAAAAGGCTGTTTTACTTAATATTATGAATTTTATTTATAGAAGATTCATTGGTATCTATATATTAATTAATTGCTCTAATATTTGTAATATTGCATACAGTACCTTATAATGATAACATAACACACCAAATGCCTTACAATCTTATCTTAATAATATTATAAATCTGAAAGTTTGTGAGTTTGTGTGTTGCTCAATCAAACACACAAACTTTCACATTTATAATATTAGTAAGATGTGAAAGTTTGTGTGTTTGTTTGTTTGTTTGAAGTTCAATCACGCATAAACTACTGGACGGATTGGGCTGAAATTTTGCATGATGATAGCTCACATTCCCTATTAACATTTAGGCATATTCTTATCTCAAAAATCCTTTTAAACTTATGAGTATTCATATTTAAAGGGAACTAGTGTACATGTTGCTCGAATTCAAGCAATTGTAAAGTATTACAGGATTTGCAAACCAATAACAATCATACTTTTCAACAAAAACACACCTACCTTCCCTGTAGCAGCAAACCTAAGTACTCGTTTTAAAATTAACTTAATGTTATTTAAATAGGAAAAAAATGACCATTTTAAGGGAATAATTAATCTTTGTATTAATTAAGCCAGGTAAATGTAAAATTCGCTTAGTCTGAAGGTTTGCTGCGGATACACAATTTTAATAACAGCAAAGATTGAAGAATCTGAATTATTACTTATATCCATGAATTTATCTAACAATTATTTCTTGTAAAATATTATTACAGCAGTTCAAAAATATTGAAAAAAACTCGATCAACAAATGATGTTGAAAGAATTCCATACTAATGACATTAACATATAGTTTGACAGTTCCATTTAACATTTAATCAATGTTAAATGTTTACATTCGGGCATAGACAAAAATGATTCGGGCGAGTGACATATTTTATTAATGTTTATGATCCCTACCGTCCCTGTTCTAATAATCATGCAGTATTTAATATGTTTGAACCAGCTGTGTGGAATTGTGAAATCAAAATTAATTTGACAGTTAGTTCTGCTTGTTTACATTTTTAAATTTTGTGGGTTTGTTCTTTGTTACCATGGATACCATCAATAAATATTTCACTCTTAATTTCTGACAACAGCTGGAGTTCCATAACACATTTTGTTTCCCATGTTAATCTTATGGATGAATACGAAACTTTAAAGGGCCCCAGGGCCTCACTCTCTAATTATTTCCTTAAAAAGAAAGTTTCCTGCACAACTTCACGTTACGCTCTTTCCAATGACACCAAAAACATGTCAATTGGTTCAGTAGTTTCGGAGGAGTAATTGTCACAAAAAACCTGCTTGCGTATTAAATAAGTATAGATTAAAGAATTTAGTCAGCTGTTTCAACTTTACAAGTTGGTTCTATAATATGCAATAGCATTAAAAAGTTATAAGGTTTCCCAACAGGGTGCAGCACTATTATTATTTTGTTTGTGCTATATGACAACAGCTAATTTGAACTAAGCAGCAACAAAAAGCTGTGATAGGTACACAATGAGAACTGTCAAAGTAGGATTGTTTACAGTTAGGTTTGAGTTTTTAATTTAATGAATAATTTGTGATATTGTGCGAATGTTTGACAATTTATTTTTTTCTATTGTTTAGGTGCAATGGTAGAACATTATGACAATGGTAGATGTGTTATACTATATCATACCGTAAATTTATGAACCAAATTTTATCAAACTGTGTCCTCCCCCCATTGCAAACGCAAAGCTTGAGTATAACTGCAACAAGCATTTTATACTTATATGCCAACCCTGTACGAAGGACGGGTGCTCTGCTAGTTGTTAATAAATAAGAATTGCAATAGTTCAGGAATAGTATTGTGTTTGATATAAAAGCCTTACAATGGAATCCAAGAAGACATTGTATCTGTGGTATTCAGAATGTGCCTCTTGGCAGAACTGACGAAATAGCAACTTGCCAATAGGTTGTTGATCCACCACATAGCTGAATCTCAAGTCTGCAACATAATACAAGGTTGATAAATAGCATCTTAAAATAATAGTTACTAAGTATTTAAAACCACAACAGCAAACCTTAATAAAAAAAATAATATGCCAGTCAATGAGTCAATGGTTATTTGTGTAAGGACCATTCCACACGAGCGTGAAAACCGCGTCAGAATTGCCGCTTGAACGTGCCAAAATCTAGTGCAAACTACACGTGGCGGGATCCCTGTTTCGTGGATTCCGGTTAAAACCCGCCTGACCATTCTACATGAGGCGGTTCAGCCGCGGGATCGACACGGTGGAGTTCGGTTTAAAGCTGGATTGTCCAACTCAAACTATAAATTTGGACTAAGTTATTCATTTTTTTGTTTATTCACATTATTTAGAAATATAACTTACGTTACTAAAACGTCGGTATATACATAATCGCTAATATCCGAAGAATAAATTGCAATACTGATTGTATGGAACAAATTTGGGTTGTCCAATAGTGTTTTTTTTTAAATTTACATTGGCATTACAAATGAATATCTATTGAAATGTATGCTAATAAATTAAATGTACTATATGGCAAACACATTAGTTAACTTACTAGCTGACCAATTATTTGTATAGTTAAAATAAAAATACTTTTGACCAATAAAGGAATACAAAAAGAACATATGAAAACAAATTTATACCGCACTGTGTTGGACCAACTTTAATGCAACTGGACAATATTATGTTAAGTGAGCTGCTGCACGCGATGATACCACTATGTGTAGAATGGCTGGCGGGATTCCCGACGCAGGATTGATGTCAACTACGCGCTCCCGCCTACTGACGCGTCCACCCGCGTCGTGAATCCTGCTTGTGTGGACACACAAATTTCACACAATGATCACTGTCAAGCGCGTGGCCCCAACGCGGGAATCCCGTTGCGGGTTTCACGCTGGTGTAGAATGAGCCTAACTAGTGGGCGAAGTGTCACGGCAGTTTGCACTTGTGTTACACATTATATTTATCCTACAGTTACTAATAAAGCATATAAATAATTAGTCTTTCAAACACTGTAGGCCTACAACACGTTTTTAGGTTAGGTTAAATCCAAACATTGAACGAAATAAACGCTGCACCAGCTGATCGTAGTCGTAATATTTTGCCAAGGTTGCCAACTTATTTTCAAGCGTACATGTATTACGTGCCTAATAAAATCACGCTGTTTTGTGTTGTTTGGTTAGAATACTGGAGTGCGGCAAAAGTAAGTAGATGCAGCAATTAGCAACATTCTGTGCTATAATTAGTGCAAGGAGGGCCACTTTGTCAGGTGACTGTAGGAAAAAAACATTCAGTTTTAACAATAGGCTGTGTAATTTTACCAAAGCTCAACTGCCATTGTGTTTCAAAAATTGCTTGGCACTGGGTTGCTCTCATGGTAATGTGCTGGGAGACACAATGGCTGTTTATTTTTTGTAAAATTTAATTTTCTATAAAGGCACTTATAGAAAATCTTTCTATGCTTTGTATTCCATTGCTCCATAAACTATCTTATATATTAACAAAGTTTGGTTTTTCTTTTCCGAGTTCATTTGGCTCTTCTACCCGACCGATTTTCATGATTGAGGTCTCAAATTGAAGCTATGCACATACAGATTTCACATCAAGCATCAGCATATATTAATCTACAGTCCCACTCGGCTTATACGTAAACAAAATTTGCTCAATAACACTGACAAAAATAGGCTTCAGTTTTTAAATAGTAGTTTGAGATGAGTTAAAAAATAAGGTAGACTAGCAAATGTTATCAGCCTATAGTTCTGCAAAAGGGTTTTTATTGATTTTTATTGTTCCTTCTCATATACAACCATATTTTACCCTCTCATACAATATTGGGTAGCTTATTTTAAAAATTACAAAAGCCGAATGTAAAAACCACCTAGCACTTTAAATGACTCCTTGTTCCACAAAATACAATAAGGCGTCACAGAGCTGTATTTTATGATGGGCGCCACAGTCAAATTTGGAACCGTCTAAAGAGTAACATTTAAGACACAAAAGTTTTAAATAAAATGAGAATATTATTAATTCAAGAGGGAGTGAAGCAGAGGCAGCTGCAAGGTCAGTGACAGTAAATCTGTGTCAATTGAGCATTAATTGAGCTGTACATTCCTTCACCACAGACAACAGCCAGGCATCTTTAGCATCTTGATACTAACAACCACACATCACATATGCATGTCATAGACACATACACTACACACTGGTAAATACCTGGTGAAAATATATCTATTTGAAAATGGAATTCTTATCAATTTTGTTGAAATATAATGGAACAAAAGTGACATTTTACTGAGGATTGCCAGGAAAATTACTCTCAAAATACACTTATATTTGCGTTTTGGGGCATAATATTTTATTTCTCAACCTATGCTTGAAATGGAGACTAAAAATGCACACTGGCTTTCTGTTATTAGTGGGTTTGTCATGTTATGGGATTAGTCAGTGTCAGTATCAATTTTACCCAAGCACACTTCATTTAAACTCATCCTGCAGACAAATTCAAGTGTGTAGCTGTGTGTTATCCATAATTAAATGTTCCAACGATTTCCTCTAAATTGTTAAAAATGTCTTAGTTTTAGGCAGAATATTATTTTTCCCTTAAGAACTTTAAATTATATTTTATTATTTTTAACATTGACCTTATGGGCTGTCAAGTAGCCAAGATGGTTTTACAAAACCAAGATTCTAGCAACCTTTTGTATGCAGCAAATTTACTAGGAATTCGTAATAACTTATTAGTTGTAATGAATTATACTTATTCCAAAATGTTGTGCAAAAGCAAAATTAAAGGTGGCCTAAAGTAGTATATTTCAATGCTAGTAACAAAATTGGCATTTTCTGGTGTGTACTCGTAGTGGCAGGCGAAGCCGAGTATGTGAGAGCTAGTATGAGGCGAAGTCGAGGACGGGAATAATTGGAGTAAGTGCCAGAGAATCACTTTTTGTACAAACGATAATTTTCATCACAACACCAAAATACTCACATACAGAATAACAGACCTCAGTAAAATTAAATCAGCTATATTTCCTAGTTCAAATTATTTTAATATAAAAGTGGGTTCTCGCAGATTCATGAGGTTCCAGGTTTAACATTATTTGTAAGGCTCTTTTTTAAAGTTTCAGTGTTTATCAAGGTTTTGTGCAGTAGTAACCCCATAGATTGCTAGTGCAAATGACAGCTAATATGAGCAAAGTAAATAGATTATAGTTTTTATGGATTACACAAAAATTATATTATATTCAATATGTATAATCCTAAAGAAGGTTTTTTGGCTAAATATGAAAATAGTAGGCCTAGCTCCCAGTTCAAATGGTTATCAACCATTAAACCTGAGAATTTAGTGGATTTTATTGTCTTTGTTTGACTATGCTCTTTATTCTGCACTGTTGAGAATAACATTTTGATTGTTATGTCAGCAAAATCAAGGTTATGTTTATTGTTAAGTAAATACAAGCTAAAACGCAGCAAACCTAGCTTACCTTTACCTCTTTTTCTCTTTACATTTGTATTGTTGATTAATAACAATGGCTGATTTAAATAAAAACTAAAAGGTGAAGGTGAACGTAGTGGGAAAATAGAGAAAGCAAGGGATTCTGATTTAAATAAAAACTAAAAGGTGAAGGTGAACGTAGTGGGAAAATAGAGAAAGCAAGGGAAGTAAATTTAGAGAAAGGGAAAGTCAGCTGATTGTTTTCCCTTAAGTGAAAATGGCACCTGAGCTTTACAAAATTCAAGGATTTAAATTTTTTTAGGTAAGCTACCTTGGCAGAATTAACATTTTATTTGCCTCACTTTCAAATATCCTACCTATTGTTCATAAGGTTAATGGTTTTTTATGGTTAAATGGTCTAAGATACTTTAATACTTTACTTTACTTTTCAATGAAATGGTGACCATACAAAGTAGGTATCCTCTGATCATACCATATTCGTGCATATTTTGTCCTTTATGTTTTTGTGACCTTAGAATGCTATGCATTGTTCCTACATCTGGTTGATATGAGAATTTCCAACTGAACATAAGAGTTAATTCTTTCAGTTAGTTCTTTCTTTTAGTTCTTTCAGGATCGGGCACTCATACTTTGAAATTAAATTTGAATGTGTTTTTCTTGGCCATATTTTTGTGACCTTGATAACCATCAAGGTTCTTAAGGTGGGTACAGGCAAATTCACGGCGTCATCACATTGTGTCGTAGCGTAGCGGACCCCAAACACAAATGAAGCAGTAAGGACATCACAGCCGTGTTCCCTATGTTGCCGCGTGTAGTTGCCAGACTCTAGTCAGATTGGATGTGTTTCCTAATCCTGATTACGGAGAGATACAAGAGGAATGCAAGCGGCTGAATTTTCCATTCAAGCAGAGCATATAAAAGCTCTAAGCGCCAAGTCAGAAAATTATGCCAAGAATAGCTTAGCTCTTATAATTGCAATTGCACCTACGGAGATTGCGTAACCAAAATTTCTATGTCCCCACTAGCCTATAGTAAAAACCCTAAAAAAAGACGATAATTATGTACCGGCTACTGGTGAAGATGTTAACAACTGTCAAGCGAATTGCAGAAAGTGATGATAGTCTTGTGTAATCGAGGATCAAAATCAACCCAACCATATTTTTAAGGATTACCACAAAACTTATGGATTTTTCCAAGTTTTTTTTCACACTTGACAAAATTTATGGTTCATTCAGGTTTTCACAATTGAGTTGGTGAGTTGTATTAGGATACCATAATCATTCGACATATATGAAACTTCTTCAAATTTAAAAAGAATTAACTTACCTATTTTATTTTTAAGATCTAAACACTGTGATATGTGGGGAAATTGTAAAATTTTCTTCCATTTCTTACTTTTCCCTTTGTTACTATCTGTACCACCTGAAACAAATAGTTTGAATTATTACTACTGCATTATAATTTATTCAGTAGCAATATAAAAGAAAGTTTTAAAAACCCTTTACCGGTACTGATATAATACTCTTTATTCCTATTGTATCGTTCTTCACATTACTTACACTATCACACAAACATCTGTCCCGCACTGCTTGTTTGTAAGGGTTTCATACATTGAGAAATAGTCAAGGTATGATTCATAGCATCATAAAACTGAGTCGGGGATTAACTGAACCAAAGAAAGGGTCACACAAAAAAGTATAGAACGTTTTGTAAATTTCAATTGTTAGCCACAAGCAGGAGGCAGCATTGCGTGATGTTGTTGGAAGCAAGTAAATAATGTGGAAAAAAATAAAGTATATCAGTAGTTGTAGTGAATAAACTATAACTAAACTTACCTCACATGATTAATTGTTTATGGCATATGTTATTATTTTCACAGAATGACGGATTGGCCATGGGTTCACCCTTATCTAGCATCCTTGCCAAAATATTTTTGAATTATGTCGAGAATAAATATCTATGGTCAGATAACAATAGACTCAGGAATAAAATAGTTTTTTATCACCACTACGTTGATGACACGATAGTTCTGTTTGATGGGACAAGAAGACAATTAAATATGCTTGGTTCATACCTTAACAGTTTAGGCCTACATAGCAATCTAAAATTCCCGTTGGAAGAAGAAAACCACAAGTCATTAAACTTTTTGGATCTCACAATCTCTAGGTCAACAGATAAATTATAATTTAAAATATACAGGAAACCGACCACAACATCTCAGACCATTCACATTGACTCACACCATCCCCAGAGTCATAAAATGGCAGCATACCACAGTTTCGTTAGCCGACTGTTATCTATTCCTATGAACGATAACGACTACATTGATGAAATAAATACCATTAAATTCATCGCAGTCTCTAACAGATACAGGAGTGACATGGTCGACAAATTAATACTAAAACATAAAAACAAAAATAAAGCTCCAACCACGATTCCAGGAAAAATTGTTTATACTTCAACAGAATATGGCACTAGTTTAAACAACACTTTAAAAAATGAGCTGTCAAGAAACAATGTTAAGTTATCTTTTAGGACCTCTAACAAATTGTCATCCATCCTAAAAGAAAAAAAGAAAACCCTCTTCTGACAAAACTGAGCTAGCAGGGGTTTACAAAATTAATTGTGACACCTGTCCTAGTTTTTATATAGGTCAAACTGCGCGCTCTTTCAAAGCCCGTTTCAAAGAACACCTTCCAACACCAAAACGGCAGTGACGACAGTCTGGACTTGTAACTCAATGTGCACATACCGTCCGCCGCGCAGTCAATTTGTGGCCACACGTTTTTTTGTAAAAATGTGTTTAAGTGTTTTAACTGTTCTTCGTTTTGTATTTATTGACTTTATGACGACCTCTTCGGAGTAATTATGTGTCCATTCAACGCCTGATGATGACCCCTTTGATGGGTTGAAACCGGTCGCCTTTCATCGGTGACTTTTTGATCACACTGACGGATTATAAGGAATTTTAACCTCTAGTAATAATTTATATATTGTGATCAGGAGGCAAAAACAACAAAAATGATGTTTATTCATTCAAAAAAATCCTCAAACGGTCAGTCCTTACCAACTTGGCTTCTTGAATCCCAAAAAGTATTATTAAAAAGAAATGTAAGACAAAGTAAATATGATCCATTGGTTGACGTAGTTGATCTGATTGACGTTAATCCTAAATACGCAACAATACGACTAACAAACGGAGAAGACAAGACAGTCTCTCTTAGACAGGTGGCTCCAAGGGGGAGACAATGAGCTCACAAACCGTTCTGAAGAGTGTATGGAGCAAAGTGTAGATGAACCTGAGCTTGCTGACATCAGGGAAGAATGTCATTTGACCAGAAATGAAGACACCGTCTCTCAGCCAAAACAGCAACTGAACACACATGTTCAGTCGCTTCCAACTGTCTATCCATCTCAACCAAACACCAGCCAGACCAAAGCTGGCCAGTTGAATAGTTTAAGTGATGGTCAAGCAACACTGAGGCGGGAATTGCAATAGACTTGAATAAAACAAAATTAGGCTATAGTTGAGAAGCTGCTTCAAGGGCTCTTCAACTGTTTTACAGCTTTAAGCTTAGGTAGTTGCTGTCCTACAACTTTAGGCAGTAAAATTTTGAATTATAACTTTGAAGATAACTACCCTAGAGCCACAACTAACATCATGACCAAGAGGAGATTAACTAAACTTCACAGTTTAACATTGGTATTGAACATGAGTCTGTCTTTGATATAATTCTGAATTAATCATTCATAAAAAAGTTCGATTCAACTGAATGATGAACTAATTGAAAATCCTGCTTATGTCGCAAACATGTTTAATAATTACTTTATAGATGTTGTAGATAGCTTAAGTGCAACACAACCTTTAGATAAAAATGGAGGAAAAACTAGTCAAGTTAACGATGTAAATAAAACAAAAGGGCTTTTTGAAACTAGGATATTTAAGTGGACTCCTGTGTAAGGAAATAGATAAGGAAATGGAAAGAATGATTGGTTCACTTAAGAATAAAATGTCTAGTGGTTATGATGATTTACCAACTAAATTATGTAGGGAACCTTTTAGTAAAGCCACTTGTACATTTGGTGAATTCCTCTTTTGTGTCTAGCTTATTTCCACATAAACTAAAAATTGCAAAGGTAATTCCTTTACATAAAAACGAGATAACTGAAATATCTAACTATAGACCTTTAGTGAAAAGAACCTCATTTAAATAGAAGAAATACCTTAAATAAAAGTCTAGAGGTTTCCACTAAATATTATTGTTTAATTTATCATACTTTTACAAGTAATTAACAATTAATTGTTTAGAGCAAATAAAAATGAACCACTTTAGTTGAAAAGCCTAATAGAATCTCTTTGTTTATTTTTCTTTTCATAGCAACCAAAATTCAATAAAACTATTTAAAACATCTGTCAGCTGATAAATCTGTCAGCTCACTACAGGAGCCCCCTACGAAGACTGGAAGTCCATGGAGTTTTGGAGGGTTCCGAAGTCACAAAAAAATAACAAATAACAAAAAAAAAATAAAAAAATAATAATAATAACAGCAAGAACAAAGGCGATTTCCATCAAACTGAAATTGGATTCTTGAATGTCACTTTTCTTCCAGACTTTGTCGTATATGACTTTTGAAAATCCACATCTTTTGAAGTTTGAGATACAGTTGAGGGCTTAACTTCATCATTCTGAAGGACATAGGCCGGTTTAACTCTGTCAAGACTAACTTTAACATTAGAACCATTCACTTTTATTGTGATAGTTTTACTGTCTTTCTTGATCACTGGATGAGGTCCGGTGTATGGATGTTGTAAAGATTTTCTCACAGCATCCACTCTCAGAAAAACGTGCAAACATGTGTCCAAATCACGAAAAATAAAGCTTCGGTTAATGCCGTGTCTCTTGATATTTGTTGGTTTTATTGATGAAATCTTGAGTCGTAATCGAGACACAAAATTAGTCAGATCCTCTAAGGGTGCTAGCTGGGTTGTTGGCATAAAATACTCGCCAGGGAGGCGTAAAACCTCTCCAAAAACCATTTCAGCACACGAGGTGTTCAGATCCACACGGAAAGCATTTCTTATTCCAAGAAGCACTGTGGGTAAGGATTCGACCCACGTGGAGGCGGAGTGGCACATGATGGCCGCCTTGAGTTGTCTGTGCAACGTTCCACCATGCCATTTGCGCACGGATGGTAACTTGTTGTCCTTAATCTTGAAAATCCACACAATTTTCCCAACTCAGCAAAGAGTGCAGATTCGAATTGTTTACCCTAGTCTGTTTTTATTCGCAAGGGAACACCATACCTTGATATCCAACAATTGAAAAGAGCTGACGAGACTTCTTCGGCAGAGATACCATGCAAGGGGTGTGCTTCCGGCCATCTGGTGAACCTATCTACTACTGTAAGACAGTAACGAAGATTTCCAACTTGGGGTAATGGGCCGATGATATCCACATGAATATGTTCAAATCTACAATTTGGCAAAGGGAAATCGTTGATAGGTGTTTGAACATGACGAGTAATTTTTGAACGTTGACACTCTCGACAGGACAAGGTCCACTCTTTACAATCACGATTTATTGAAGGCCAAACATATCTTGAAGTTAACATTTTATTCAGGGATTTTATCCCAGGGTGACTTAAGTTATGGACTGAATTAAACGCTTCTCTGCGTAAACATTTGGGGATATATAATCGTTCTCTACCGTTCTTTGTATCGCAGTAGACAAAAACATCAGAGCCAGGAACTGGAACTGGTTGAAGACAAAGTGAAGTACTGTTTTCGAGAATAGACTTAAGTTCCTCATCATTAGATTGAGAATCTGCCAAGAGATGCAGATCAATTTTACTAGTCTTGTTGGCAGAAATAGATTCTATCCTAGAAAAACTGTCTGCTACTATGTTTGAAGCACCAGAAACATGTTGAATGTCAGTCGTGAACTGTGAGATAAATGAAAGATGGTTAGTTTGAACAGGAGGTAGTTTGTCCTTCTTTTGTTGAAAAACGAAAGTGATGGGCTTGTGATCAGTATAGACAGTACAGGAGTTAGCTTCTAATATATGTCTGAAATTTTTAACAGACGAATAGATGGCAAACAATTCCCTATAATAAGCGGGCCAACTGGCTTGCTTAGGTGTTAGTTTTTCGGAAAAGAAGGACAGAGGTTCCCATATTCCATCTTGATTCAATTGTTGTAGTACTGATCCTACTGCAGTATTCGATGCATCACAAAAAAGTGCTAATTTACTATTAGCGTTGGGGTGACAAAGTAATGTAGCTTCGGCTAATTAATGATCCTTACATTTACTGAATTTTTCAGTCAATACATCGGTCCAAGGGATTTTCTGATTCCCTTTTAATGACGAAAGGACAGTGTAGAGAGGGGCTTGAAATTCTGCAGTGTGAGGAATAAACCTGC